GTTAAATTTGAGATCAGTATCATGTGTCTCGGACAAAGTGCAATAACTGATATATAATTCAAGTGTACTTGATTTTTTTACCTATCGATTATTCGTAAACTTGGTAGACATAACCCCCCCCCCCCAAAAAAAAAAAAAAAATTAAAAAAAACAAGAAATACAAAAATATGTCGGAAATGCTGAGCATAATTCCTGGAACTTTATAAATGACGTACACATTTTCAATTCAGTCCTTTTATATAACAACCTGTTGATCGAAGAAAAGAAATACTAGAAATGCTGAATATACCGGTAATTCCAGAGATGGATGTAGGAAATAATTTAGATAGCTGTTGGTCGTAGAAGACCCCCCTCCCCCTAGAATGGAGTTTTTAGCGCCTAAATGCTTTGCTCCTCATACATGTATCTCTGCACTACCCTTTGCATTAATACAGTCATGAGTTAACTGTCCATTCACAAGGAGGATGTCAAATGGATTTTTTTTCTGTGTATAACGTAAACATATATCACATCCGGCCACACCGTTGTATCCCCTATTAAGTTTTTCTTAAACCTATAGTGTATGCAGTGTTGACAAACTTGAATCTACAGAGTACACGTATATATATGTTCTTAAACTACATGCGAAAGCGGATAAGTGAATATTTTTAAATATACTGACAATATAAAGGTTCTCAAGGCGGATCAAAAATATTCCTAAGGAACTATTTACCCACTTATAAAACTAATCACTGGACACATCTTTTAATTATACCCCCGCTCCGAAGCAAGGAAAGAGGAAGGGGGAAGGGGTATACTGTTTTACCCTTGTGTGTTTGTCCGTCTGTCTAGCTGTTTGTGTGTCTGTCCGTAAGTTTTGATCGCAGTTTTCGCAGCAACTGCTCATCACAGATGCTTGAAAATTTCGCACATTCTCCACGGAGGCATGCTATATCGTGGGATCCATTTTTTTTTTTTTAAATTCTATGTCAACTGCCTGTTTCTCCGTGCGTCTGTCGTACAATACATAACACATTTCCGTCGCAGTTTTTTTCCAGCAACTATTTATATTGCAGATGCTTGACATTTTAGCACATACTTTGTTGTGGCATGCCATATGATGGGATATATGTTTGTATGAATCTGATGTCAACTTCCTATTTTTCCGTGCATATGCCCGTAACTAAACTTGTGTAAATTTTAATTAACATATCAGTGTATTTTCACATCAGAGCAGGGTATTTCTAGCGACCATTGGCTGACAGACTTGTGTTTGTCCAATCCTGTTTTAAAAATCTCAAACAAGTATGTAGTATACTTGCATTAAATTTTCCTGAATATATACATGTACGTTTATTTTTAAAAATCAATACATACGAGTAAGTGTAATACTTTTTTTTACGAATATTTGAAACATTAAATCGATAACGAAATCATTCAAATTTAAATTAACCTACATCTTTTTCAACACGATATTGCGTTTCTTAAGTTTTTTTCCTTTCCTTTTCCTTTCCAATTGTGTATGTATTTTTTTATTCTGTGTAAGGCGGAACAATAAGATTGTATTTTTACGACAGTGAATTTAAATCGAAAATGAAACAAGAATAAATGTAAATTAGAACAAAGCTTTATTATATGAACAAAACCTCTTTTTTCTTCAGTTGTAAGAGTATGAATTAACTTAAATTTTATTTTTTTAAATTTTATCCGTTCCTTCTGTCGATTTCTGCACACACTTTTATCAATTATTTACATAAAATATTCACTTGTCGAATTTGATAAATTCTGGATCAAGGGTCCCATCTCACACACGATTTGGGGATATCTACATCACCAACCTAGTGGTGAGCTTTTTTAGTGTCAAAAGAAACACCCTCTGAATTTGTCTCGCATCCCAAGTTTCGTCTAATAAATCGAACGACTCGGACATATTAAAACGAGAAAAAAAATTCTTATTTGCGAAAATAAATTAGAATGGAATTAAAAAAAAATATATTTATCATTTATTGTCATACCATCAAAACTACGCGGTATCAGAGTAGAAAACGTCAAAAAACGCAATGTGCGTTAAAGTGCGTGATTGTGGGGTAAAAGTATATACGTTAAAATGCGTGATTGTGGGGCAACGGTATATGCGTGAAAATGCGTGACTGTGGGGAAGGGGGTTATTGTAATTTACCAAACAAACAAAAAAAAAAAAAAAGAAACAAGAAACAAAAACGCATCTCAAAGCAGGAGATCTGTGTCAGACATCCGGATAGAATCTATAAAAATAATGTACTTCATGTTGACTTTGACATGGTTTCATAGTTCAGAACACAGAAAGCACAGGTTTGTGGATATTAAAACAACATTTGAAACAAAGCGTCAGCAACACATAGGAATCATCTATATCACCAAAAGTGAGACTCTCTTAAACGTACCTTCTCCCTGACAGAAATTAAAACTGATATAAAAATTCTTCAACGATCAATCAAAAATAACAAGAAATTCCCAGAAAATTACAAAAAAATATGCATCGACACAGCAACCTGTGTTAATAATTAATGATTTTTGAATCATACGTTCATGTTAAGATGACAACATCAGGTCAGAAAAACAAACTCATTAAATGCATAGAGAATTACGAACAGAGATTTCAACAGGCAGACCGGTAGAATTTCTCGATTTTCTTAAGAAAGGTAGTGTCCACAAAATAGATGAATTCGAAACTCTTATTCGCTCACAACCGACTTTGTTGTCCATGACTTGGAAAGTAGACAAGAAGGAAAAAGTGATTAATTTTCTGAGCGAAATCAAAATTAAAGAAAGAGGAAAAAGACGAGCAAGAAATAAATATCTGATAAATTGTATATATCCACCTGTGTTGCACTCATCACTCGCTGTCACAGGCGTATCTGGTGTATGGCACATTTCTCGTGTCAGTGTAGCTCAGATATGGATCAGTGACTTTTGGGATAAATATCTTAATTTGATCAGAGGTTGTTCAATGAATAATCGTCGATTGAAAAAAAAGGTTCGTCATGGATGAACACCAACGAATGAAAATTATATTATGCTCCCCCCAGTCTGTGATTTAAGCGGTCCAACATATCACTCAGTGGTCCGACATCGATTTTTTTATGCCTGCTTATCATGAAATTGAAAATGTTATACTTTATAAGAACAAATTTTTAAATGTATAACAATCAATTTTATTTTAGATCTGTAAGTAAGATAGAAATAAAATGCTAATTGTCGTGATTCATGTAGGATAGCTGATATATTGTCTGAACTATAAAATTCTCGGCGTTATAAACTCCATTCAATAATTCATAACCGAAGTTGTTATCCTACAAAATTCACGATAAGGCGGACTTTATTTCTTAAGTCACTTTAACTCTACCTTTGAATTATTCCTTTTCTGTTTGATATTTGTGAGTCTTATATTGTTGATATTAATCTATAGGCTTTGATTAGCAGGGTTTAATAAAGAACAGTTTGATTTAAATATCATCATGGATAATAAAAAGAAACTTGGTAATTGTTCAAAATCTAATCATTTTGTTTAGATATTAATGAGCTACATGTTTTGCTATTATTTCATAATAAAACTGGCTACATATTGCTTTAATTGATATTGTATTGATATCGTAAAGTAAAAAAAAAATTCTGACATACCTGGTATTTGATTAGTAAAATAGTTTCAACTGTTTATACACTGAAAATTGTAGATGTAAAACAGTTTTAATCCAAAGAGTTCAATCCATTGCTTACAGATATATTTGTTTTACTACAATTCACAAATTTTTGAGTGATAATGCAAGCTTACGGATATCTGAAAGTTAAAATGAATTGATAATTATGATATGAAAAAAGCTGAATATAAAGAAAATTGATTGATCAGAAAAAAGAAAGAAAACAGCAAACAATACAAATATGTGATAAAGGCACTAAAATTTAGGTGGAATTAGGAGTGTAGGTGAAGTAAGCATACCTTGTTGACCCATCAGAAGACTTATGTATTGATCATAATGGTACATGTTCCGTATACTGACAGATCCATCTTGAAACAAATGGAGATTATGGTTGTTATTAGGGATCATAAGTCAACACGGATCTCAAAAAAAAATCAGGGGTAGTATCAGATACCATTGAAGAGTGAGCATCCCCTGTCTAATGCTCACATTCGCCGTATGCCCGTTGTCCTGATAGGAAAATAAAGAAAAACCGTACGTCAATTCAGTGTATACAGTAAACTATGGACAAGCAATAAGAAAATAATATGTCAGTCGGCATTTGACTCAACAATAGATTGCATTTGCTGACAAGGTCATTGTATTGACCTTTGAACTAACGAAACGATGAATTTAAACGAAACTGATTATATTTTTTCGTCAACTTGTTTGTCAGTAATTTACGTCGTTTTAGAAATTGCTCATTAGCATATGTAGAGCATGCTCTTGCGTATGGAAACAATTCAGATACTGTAAACAAACTTTTATTCGTGACGACTTCATTTCGCAATATACCAGGGACAAACTTGTTCGCGACGATTATATAATTAATGTTCGCGATCAGACCTTTTTTGATCTGTTGTTAATAGACACATGCCCTTTATTGATCGATTTGCGTCGAGAAATATTCGCGATGACAAGTCTCTCGGTAACTTCGCTAAAATTTCTCGCATGCATAAAAAAGTTTACAGTATATAAACTATATTGCTGCATAAGTAAGGGAAAAATAATTTTATAATTAACAAGATGTGATTGTGAAACATGACACCAAACTACATACATGTAGTTATCTTTAAAGGTTTCATTGAAAAAAGACTCTCCCAAGCAAACAAAATAATTGTTGACTTTCATGTTTTACTCATAAAAATTTGCGATAAAAGTAGATGCATAAAGACAAAATATTGTTTATCTAAATATTAAGAGGCTTTTCAGGGACTAGCAAGTTATAAATCACGTGTATCACGTGAAAAGTGTGCAGGAAAAAGGTACTTAACTTACTTGTTGTTAGAAAAAAATCGACACACATGCATGTATTAATCGCCACTGCCTTCAATGATTTTCCTTTTCCTTTTGCAAAATTTATTAATCTCAGCTTTTATGATGCAGTCGACATGATGTACAGCTGTTTTGAATTTTATTCTACTGAAAGGTCCTGTTGATATTTACGTTTGTGCGCAGTTCATTTCTTATTTAAATTTGTGAAGAATACACTGGGCATTTGCGATTGTGCCTACTCAATTTCATATTTCTTTTCGCGAGGAGTCCAAATAATATTCACGATTATGTGTAGTCCATTTCATATTTACTTTTATGAGGAGTACATTGGATATTTACGATGATTGTGTGTAGTCCGTTTCATATTTACTTTTGTGCTATTCAGTTCTAGCTTTTGCTTCCAGTTGTTCTGATATTAATAACTGTACAATAATGATACATGTCATCGACTTATTTCCTTTGAATTGATTGTTTACGTGTCGTCAATCTGAAGTCAACTTTTGCGCGCCATGAGTTTTATATTTACTATTGTATGATGTCGACATGCCAAACACTGTGTATTCCTTCAAAATTAATTTTCGAAAACCCCGTCTTAACTTTTTATAAGCAACCATTTTGATGTGGAAAAAGGATATCTATTATTATATGCAATAGATTAGCAGTTTGACTTTCTGTGTAACTGATAACGTTTTCCGTGGAAAAAATCATGTGGACCATATTTTTACCATTCACAGAGGAATTTCTTAAAAAGTACAGATTTCAGGAGGTGGGATATTTTATTGTCGCTCTCTCTCTCTTTCATAAGCTCCCAAGAGAAATTTATAAAACATACGAGTGTTTCCTGAGGTTTTGATTACATGTTAATTGATTTGCTTCCTGTTTTGACAAAAACCCAATGATGGATCCAGTCGGAGGAGTCTGTAATTTGTTTTCATGTAAAATTGACATTCTAATGTTTGATGAAAAGGATTTCGGAAGAAACCTCCGCCAAGAAAGAAAAATCTTTCACTGCAGCATCAAAAAATTTGCATATACAGAACGTTTTAAAAAATACAGCATGCCAAATATGCAAAGGCAGAAAGCAAGCTACATATACATAATTCATTATTGAATTTCTTTGAAATTTCTTTTTCTTGTTCCCAGCTTTTTATTTCAGTTATGACCATTTAGATGTGTGCCTTTACCAGTATAATTATCATTCACTCTGTATGTTTAAGATATTTGGTTTGTGTCTTGATTAAAATCCCCTGAGGAACTATTTTTAGCTTAACTGAAATCTTCCAGGATCATCCAATCCAAAGAACAACTAGGAGAATTTATTTTGAAGCCACACTTTATTCTTCACACCTTACATGCATCTACATTGTGCATGTATGTTTCCATGATTCGGAGTACTACCTTAGAAAAAAGTAAGAATGAATGTAATTATGTCTTTTCTTATTCAGCATCTTTCAGGAACAATATTTGTAATGAAACATATTAATGACCGAATAGCATTGAAAAATAATTTGATTCTGGCTAAAAGGGCATTTCAATTGAATGAAAACTTCGAACATTTCATATATTATATTAAAAATGTAAAGTATAAAAGTTAGGTTTTATAACTTCAAAAATCTAACTTATATAACCTGGGATGAACAGCGTCAATACTTTCGAAACCACTTTTGCTAGTCATGAAGAGTAAACGCTTTTGATTCAGTTTATACAGTTCTCATGATGAATTAATTCTAAGTTTTTAAAACTATAGAAAATATGCACCTCAGAAATTTTAATACCTTGTGATTTGTAATCTACAGTATTACTTTGTAGAAAATCACTTAAATTCTACACCGAAGTATTTTGAAGAAGGTATGTAGTGGTTTCCCACTTGACTTTCAGTGACAGATACATTGTTGATATATTAACAATAAATAATTACTTATATCCATATGTGCACTTAACGTATCTGGAAATAAAGTTCACCACTCGGTCTCTCATATGTTTGGATGTTTTTTTTTTACTTGCGACGATAATATACTAAAAACAACCAAACACAACCAAACCGAAACAAAACAATATAAAAATGAGGGATGCATATTCTACTTCATAAAAGTAGATCTTTGTAATTTTTCACCTCCCTTTTCGCCCCTAGAATATGTGTTCCGGAAATTAAAACTTATGATGGATAAAGACACCACTCTTGTTCTTATGTGTAAGCCTGGAAAATACGAGGGCCGTTCAAAAATTACGCGAACTTGTTGCACAGAAAAAATATTTGACGACATAATCGGGCAAAATGTCGCACAAAATATTAAAGAATCTTCACTTATATGGTCTTCAAAATTTCATATCAAAATGTTGTAAATTGGTATCAATTTTGAATGATTTTACAGGACATATCATTAAGTCAAGGAGCAGCAAAATCTTCGACGTCACAGGCATTATAAAAAAAATATGTGGTTGAGTTTTCATTTTCTCAACATTTTCCCAAGAGTACCTGAACAGTTTGAGTTACCTTATCTACTCAACATCCAAACAGCATTTCTTGTCAAGCGTAAAATCTATTAAACAAGTAAAGAATATTCTTTTTTTGTTTTAAAACCAAAAACTGCAGGTATTTATCAGATATAGTGTGAATTGGTCACTCTCAATCACGTTCTTTACAGTCCGGATAAAGTTTTCGTCGATAATCTTCTTTCCGTCCTCCCGTATAGCCGTTTTACAGAGGTCTAACGGTCTAAAATTTCAATATGGTATTTGTGGACGAATGTCACGAGTACCCTAGTTTACTACATGTTTTATTATGCATATTTTGTATCTATATATGTTGGCGATATCTCGAGCATTACACATAATTTAACAAAATGCTGTGCGCCGTCAATTCAGGAGACGCCATTTTCACAGACGTTTTCACGGTAATCGCATCAGAGAAAAATCACTATATTTCTGTTAGTACTTCAATGATCTCGCCAAAAATCTAAATACATAATAATAGAACAATTTAAAGATACATTTGAGAAAATTGTCGAAAAATATCGCGAATTATAGAAAATATATGAGTTAAATTTTGGATTCCACATGCTTTTGCTTCGAATTTTTTGTCGTGCTCCTTACCTCTCCATCAGCGATATCAACAAACCGATAATTTTAGCAGAATTTTTTTTTAAAATACAGATATTTTGCCCAAAATTTATTGGAATCTTTAAGATACATATTTCTGGTAAATTTCATAACTATATGACGTCTGTAAGAGTAAATAATAGCACAGTCCGCGTAATTTTTGAACGGCCCTCGTAATGACTCCTTAGAGATAGTCAAGTAAAATTAGGAAGATGGTAAACGGATAATTTTTTCATATGTGCTGTTAATATTGACATAAATGAGAAAAGCTCAGTTATGTAGTAAAAAGTACTCACAAGGAAACACTTTTTAGTCCAAGCGCTTAATTAAGTTGTGCGTTTTATTAATTACATGCTGTGGAACAGAATGCCAAGAATAAATTAAAAATAAAAGACGATTTCACATTTTATAACTGTGAAATGACCAATTCAGCCAAGTCTTGAAATAACTATCAATGATATGTTACAAGATACAAGTTACAAGATTAATGAAATTTAAGAACAATAAATTGATATTGATTATAGATAAAATATAAACATATAAATTGCATAACATAATCTTTAACTCTCAAAGAAGTATCAACATATGAAACTTTAATTTGTTCACCATTAATGGCTTTCCGATCTATTTATTTTTCTTTTGTGTGAAATATTGGTTTTGGAATTCATTAAAATATATATTGACATCCACTGATTATTTTATTTTTCTTCATTTCTTTAGAAAACCATTGGCATTTATTTGTTCTAGGCATGTAATCCTTCTACACAGAATTCTTGATCAGTGGCTGTTCCATCGATAGAACTTACTATGATGCACTTACCAAATACAAAAATTAATCTTTTTTTTTCTTAATTCAAATGATGAATTATACGGATATGAATATTAACTAACTGACTTTCTTTGATAGTGTTTACGGGAATTAGAGTCGCAACTATTTGCAATATATATATATATATATATATATATATATATATATATATATATATATATATATATATATATATATATATATATATATATATATATATATATATATATATATATATATATATATATATATATATATATCCGCTTACGTGGGTTGTATCTTTTTTTCAGCAAAAGCTGCGACATTAATTCCCGTTTTAACAACAAAGGAGAGTACTGGTATATTATTGTTTAGATAATGTTAAGTTTAAAAAAGACAAACATCACTTATCGAGAATTGATTTATTTTACTATTGAAGCGAAACTGTAATCGAGTTCAAATCATCCCTTCGTTTCTCGGTAGTTGCGTTGTGCTGACTTCCTGTCTCTTTGTACCCTTCGGTTCTCCGCAGGTCATGTGACCTGGATTGTATATAAATATGGAGACAAACGGGTTGATTGGGGAGTCTGCTGTGGACGGCTGATGAGAGAAGATCGCCAGAACAGAAGTCAAACGTATAGGTACTTGGGAAAACTTGGTTAAATAAAGTCTTAAGTGTCTGAAATAGACTTTGGTTTGTTGTATTTAGTACCTTGATACACTTTGGCTGAAGATAAGAAGCGGACGCGCTTTAGTCTTTGGAAGGCGCGCGCGCTCCCGAGAAACGAAGGCGTTAGTGTATATATTATTAATTGAAATTTGTGATTTGGAAATTTGATTATTTTTAAATTGTTCAGATAGAACAGCCGAATCCCATAAAAGAACCCGGAAACGTTACATAAATTTGGTGGCCGCGGTGGGATTCGGCAAATAATCAAAGTAATATAGACGTTCATCAATATGTATTGGGTTGTGAAAAGTGTACTAAGCGAAAGAATCCAAATCCTAAGCAAAGAGCTCCTATGCAAGTTGTTGGATCTGGTACTCCCATGGAGAGAATTGCGACTGATATATTGTGCGAGTTGCCAGAAACAGACAGAGGAAATCGCCATATACTGGTAGTGTCCGATTACTTCACGAAGTGGACAGAGGCATTCGCTCTACCAGATATGGAAGCCGAAACTGTAGCACGCACAATAATGGATCAAGTTATTGCTAGATTTGGTGTACCTTCAATAATACATTCGGACCAAGGTCGCCAATACGAGAGCAAATTGTTTGCGGAAATGTGTCGGTTACTAGGGATCAAGAAAACTCGTACCACTCCCTACCATCCTAAATCAGATGGGATGGTAGAGCGATTTAACTGGACATTGCTCTCCATGCTTAGTGCCTACGTTCAAGAAAACCATCGTGATTGGGATCTTTACCTCCCTTACATATTGATGGCCTACAGATCAACGGCGCATGAGACAACAAATTTTTCTCCAAACATGCTGATGCTAGGGCGCGAAGCAACCACTCCATTTGACCTGATGTACGAGATGCCACCTGATATCAAAGAGATACCATCGAATCAGTGGGTCTGGATTCTATGTGAACGTTTGGAAACTGCGCATAAAATCGTTAGAGAGCATACTGAAAGAGAAATGCTTCGCCAGAAGAAATACCATGATACAAAGGTTGCATGGTCTTCGTTTGAGCCCGGAGAAAAAGTCTTTGTGTATTTTCCGACCAGGAAAAGTGGCTGCTCTCCAAAACTTACATCATTTTGGAGAGGTCCTTACGTAGTTGAGAAAAAGTTGTCTAATTTTCTTTACACTGTAGCATGTGGATATAGAACAGTGTAATTCATTGTGATCGCATGCGCAAGTGTAGATCTCAGATATTAAGAGTGGAAGAGGGAATGTTTTCTGGGGATGAGCAAGAGATCCTGAACGAAACAGAAAACTTACCTGAAGTTGACAATAATGAGCAGTTTGCTGCAAATAATGAAGACAATTCAAATGCCAGCGCTGATTTCAACAGCAGGCCAAAGCGCACGAGACGCTTACCAGCCTGGCATGATGATTTTGTTGTAGATTACAAAATTTAGAGCATGCAACTTGTTGTACATATTGTAAATAATTAATTGCCAGATTTAAGTGATTTTGCTCGTTCTTAGAAAACCCTTAAAAAAAAAACATACAGTGTAAATGATATTTTAAGTTTTGTTCTTCATGATTTAGGAGGAATGCGAGACGCATTTCCTGGAGGCGTGGGTAATGAAGCGAAACTGTAATCAAGATCAAATCATCCCTTCGTTTCTCGGTAGTTGCGTTGTGCTAACTTCCTGTCTCTTTGTACCCTTCGGTTCTCCGCAGGTCATGTGACCTGGAGTGTATATAAATATGGAGACATACGGGTTGATTGGGGAGTCTGCTGTGGACGGCTGATGAGAGAAGATCGCCAGAACAGAAGTCAAACGTATAGGTACTTGGGAAAACTTGGTTAAATAAAGTCTTAAGTGTCTGAAATAGACTTTCGAGACTTTGGTTTGTTGTATTTAGTACCTTGATACACTTTGGCTGAAGATAAGAAGCGGACGCGCTTTAGTCTTTGGAAGGCGCACGCGCTCCCGAGAAACGAAGACGTTAGTGTATATATTATTAATTGAAATTTGTGATTTGGAAATTTGATTATTCTTAAATTGTTCAGATAGAACAGTCGAATCCCATAAAAGAACCCGAAAACGTTACACTATTATTATGACTGTTCACACATTATTTATCTAGCGATAAAAGAGCACTTAAAGTAATAATATAAAACAATATTTGTCAAAAAACATTGTACTTATTATTTTTAGAAAACACTTTAACTATATTAACTATTTGAAACTCCTGTAAAAATATTTTTCCTTGGATTAATCTTTTAATTAGATTGAATAAAACAGATAAACAATCTATGTATTTTTTTATCTAGTGAACGTCTGAATAGCTTTTCTAACGGGCTAATGAAGAGTAGTCAGTGATAAGAACACATCCTCTTCCTTGTCCAAAACAATTGATCTTAGAGAATTGGGGTTTTAACGGATATATCCTCTTCT